TTAAAAAGTCTCTTACTTTTCCGTTTAGCAAACTCTAATTCGAGGATTACGTGAACTCAAAAAAAAATTGCCTACATTAATACTACAATTGACAGATCGTGCTCATTCAGCTATTGTTAGACAAAAAACCGATAATAGTACACCGATAGGCGTTGATTTCAGTGTAAATTTTTTGCCCATTCTAAGGCAGTAGAATTCTCATATTCGGGGCCGAGTGTGTGAAAAAATATGTTATTTAAGGGGTCCCCATGCTGTTTGTTAGTTTGTCGAGGACAGCTTGTAATATATATCCTGAAGTTTTCTACAGATGTTTTATTTATCCTGCACTAAAAGCTCGAACAATATACGAAAAATTATAGAAGTGTAATACACAATCATGCAAAATCTTTGCTTACAGTTTCAAGTAACCCGCGGAAAAATTGACGAGTTTGATTTAGTATATTTGTAGCTTTTTGTTTTATCGATATAAAAACTTTCTGTATAAAATTACCAATTTTTTGAAATAGTGCTCCTAGTTTCGGTCCCAGCCCAGCTAAAACAGGTGAGGCCTTTTTGAAAAATTCTTTAGCATCTGCTGTATCAGTTGCAGTTCTTAAAACTGTTTCTTCTAATGTGTCGAACTGTTGGTTAGTTGATTCTCTAGCGTCATGTAGAGTCCTCAAGAAATCTTGTTTGAGTGTTTCCAAGTCAGAATCTTCCACACGACCATCTGTTACTTTATACTGTACCACATTGGTAAGATCATCTTCTAATTCTTTGACCACATTTTCTGCCATTGTATGGACTCGCATCATTAGTTGTTGTATAGCTAAAAGAACACATAGAAAAGAGTGTTTCACTTTTAAACCTCTTTAAAGCGTAGAACGTAATTAAAGGCTGGCCGTAAACTATTTGAAAATGTTTAAGGTTCAATGTATTTAAAAACAGAGGCACGAAACAGACCTATATATATTCACAAAAGCCAACTTATTTATAAACACATAACTCAACTCACTCGGGAATTGCACTGAGTTGGATGCGCCCCCTGAACGATTATTGTCGATCGAAGAAAATGTTCGATCCATATTGGCCAAGGAGCAACTAGTTTATCTGAAACAGATATTATAGTTAGGAGTCGTTTTTATTTGAAAACTGAAAACTCTGAGTGCATCGAAATAAGCGTGAAAGAGACAGTACAGTACTGCTATAAATATCATTTTGAATTTTAACAAAATTCAGCTTGATTTTATTATTCAAGCTTTCGACAACGTACTGTTGTCATCGTCGGGAAAACAAAATGACATACATGAAAATCCCACATTTAAACTTACAAAAATAGAGGGAGATAAAGAATAGAAAAATGTGTTTGTACATTCAGTACGGGTTAAAAACATTTCTATCGATAGAAATAAGCGTATTTTAAACAGGTCAACAGGCATTCTTTAGTAAATGTCTTTATTTAAAAAACTTGTAAATGAAGAAAATTCATAAAGTGAGCGATTCAGATAGACGTCTCTTTTATTGTTTTGTCACAACTACCAACTGGGTCATAATTCTTTATCATGTCAACAAGCTGATCAAATAGTTTATTCCATTTTTCCATAATCTCACTTTCCATATCCGTTTCGAATTTCTTTATTAGAGATGTAGGATCTTCCCCTCTAGTGATTATGCTCCACAGCTCTTCAAAGAATAAAATATACTGTTCGATAACTTTATTAATTTCTTTTTGAGCTTCCCGAAGCAGATGCGTGGCAAGTTGTAATATCATACAGAAAATCACTCGCTTCTTTTCGTAATCTGGATCATTTAGATTAGGTGATATTGGTTCCATAGTTAGAATTTGGTCTTGTAAAAGCGAACTACAAATAAATTATTTAATTCTACAGATCTAATGAAAAGTGACTTGGTAAACTCAATATATGTGACTCACACAGAAAATTGTTCACGTAAATCTTGCATTATTTGCTTTATTTGGCTTTCATGTCGTCTTATAATCTCTTCATTCGTCGGTTTTTGTCTAACAATAGCTGAATGAGCACGATCTGTCAATTGTAGTATTAATGTAGGCAATTTTTTTTTGAGTTCACGTAATCCTCGAATTAGAGTTTGCTAAACGGAAAAGTAAGAGACTTTTTAA